TTTATTAAAAAATTTAACATATTCTTTTCATAGAAAAATCTGTAGCAATCTTCTCCTTTTTTCAAGTTTCTCTTCTATCTACGTAGGATAATATTTTTCGTATAATTTCACACGATTACGGGTGAAATATTGGTGAATAAAGAATGAGGAGACTATGTAAGCCCTCTTTCTGAGAGGGTTTTTCTCTCTCTTTTTTTTTTTATTAAAACCGGAAGCAGTTTGCATATCGAGTAGCTGGGTATATAGCATTAGAATGATCGATGAATATTCAATACCTGCCAAGGTATACCGCCAAATACCAGCAACAGCATGCAATCCACCCACTCGCCGAGGTCCTCGTTCTTGATTTCCCCTAGCCATTCGTGCGGGGTGAGATTCTTCTCGAACGACACAGCAGGGTGGAGAGCGGAAAACGGCGCAGCCACTCCTAAGCCGATTATGATGTAGGCTAGCTGCAAAGCATCGGTACACGCGACCGAGTACAATCCACCGAACAACGTGTACCTGCAATCGAAGTGACGTACTGTTTCTTTATTTCCGGATTTCCCCGTCAAATCGTATTCTCAGACAGCATTCCGAATGAAGGAAGACTGCTGCTTTTACGTGAGCTGCATTATTTGTGCTACGATGGATCCGTGGAACGAGCTTTCGAGATTTCGACGTTTCGAAATTCTCGGAGTCTCAAAGTGTTTGAGCTTTGATCTCTCTATTTTGAGGGCTTCGATGTTTCGAAGCTTCAAAATTTCATGTTTTCGAGGCCTCAAAGTATGAAAGCCTCAAATTTCCAAGGCATCAAAGTTTTAGAGCCTCAGAATTTCAAGTTCTCAAATCGTTAAAGTTTCAAAGCTTCAAAATTTCAAATTCTTAAGGCCTCAAAGTTTTAAAGCCCCAGAATTTCAAATTCTCAAGGCCTCAAAGTTCCAAAGTTTTTAAAGCCCGAAAATTTCAAATTCTCAAGGCCTCAAAGTTCCAAAGTTTTTAAAGCCCGAAAATTTCAAATTCTCAAGGCCTCAAAGTTACAAAGATTTAAAGGCCCAGAATTTCAAATTCTCAAGGCCTTAAAAATCTCAGACTTTCAAAGCGTCAAAGCCTCAAAATTTCAAAGTCCCAAAATCTCAAGCTCCCAAGTACTCAAAGCCTCAACAATTCGAAACTTCCAAATTCCCAAAGACTCAAAGTCTCGTGTCACCGAGACCTCGAACTTTCAAAATTTCCAAACCTTCAACTCCCAAACTCCCCGAATCCCAAAGCCTCAAGTTCCCTCCGATAGAAATGCTAGGAGCGTACTCACACGCCTGCCAAGAGCGCTGAGGCGATCATACTGATGTTCGGATCCACGCCAGCCACCACAGCCAACGAGGTCCCCAGAGCTCTAAGCACCGCCGCGCACCAGAACAGATCGCCGCATAGGGCAGGCAGGAACAGCAGTCCTCCAACTCCGGCACCGTATCTCTCTTGAAACGGATCCAACATCGTCACGTGTTCCGCTTTCCTCATTGGCCGTACGAACAGCACCGCACCTAACACATTTCTCCGTTATTCGACAAATATTTCTCCAACGAACAGTCCTTCTCACTCAGCATTAACCCCTTAACCCTTTCACTGCCAAATTTCATTCCAAAGAAGTTCAACTTATCTTCCAATGATAAATACGTTCGCTAACAGTGTCACATTCACATGACACGTCAATTAAAAATTACCTGTGCATAAGTACAGGTATTACGCAAAGTATTACGTAAAACTGTAGATACGAAGAGTGCAAACAAATATGATACGAGCGTTATTGGACGATTGTTCAAACAGAGTAACACGTTTATAGCGAACGTGTTAATTTTGTAATTCATTAATATATCTCAACAACGAGTCTAATTGAATAAATAAATCACCGTGGATATTTCCACGTGAGAGTGATATACAGGATGAAATTCGATGAAAACGCCGAGGTCTTTGACGGGGATAAATCACGAAGTAAAATTGTTTGAAATCTGCTTTATACAGCAGAAGTGGGGAGGGTAAATCATCAAGGGGGTGTGGGGTTCGATCGAGTCGCACTTTTAATTAGGTATGCAGAGGCTTCGGTTAAGTGAAACGCAAACTTCGTTGCGAATGTATAACCCCGATTAATTGGAGTTCAATCGAATTCGGGTTCTGCGGTCTGGGGTGATGGGAATTGTCGGGGGAAAGGGGCGGGGAAAACATCGTTAACGGAAAGGGATATCCATTACTCTTGACTCTCGGCGCACGAAAAAAAAAAGGAGAAAAAAAAAAGAAAAATGAATCGTGGTGATAAAATGGCTCGTGTAGCAGTCAACGTGGAAAAATAAATTGAGCTTAGGGGCGGTGACGGTCTGATTGGCCTGTGGGATGGTTGAGAAGTATTTCACGGTGAATTGTTCGATTTGCACGTTCTTTTTCCTCTTTTTACGATATTTATTATTCTTTGAAAAAAAAAATAAGAAAATTCGTGGGTCGATCGAGAATTTTCAATTGGAGTATTGTTAAAAATATATACCGCGTGAAAATGTTTCGTTCCAATTTCATGCCCCCTTAATCTGGTCTCGTATATCCTCAGAAGTCAGTGGAACCGCGTAAACACCAAGGACATTCCACCCTCGTTCATTCATAACCTTCACGGGACCGTGGTCGTTCTTATGCAAATTCTTGCAAAGAAGAAGGAAAAAAAAATAAAAGGTTAGACCTTGGCTAGGTCGAGGGAGGGAACTAAGGATAAATATATACCGGTGGACGGATGTCCTCAGCCTTGGCAATTTCATCGGTTCTCCATCGATCTACTTCCACCCCTGCTCCCACCACTACGCGTACCTTCGTTTGCGTGGCAGTGAAGGGGTTAAGGTTACATCTGATAACGTGCGTGTGTCCGTCGAACACAGAAACAGAGAGAGAGGGAGAGACAGAAAAAGAGAGGGAGAGATCGAAAAAACACGGGAGAGACAGAAAAAGAGCGGGAGAGACAGAAAAAGAGAGGGAGAGACAGAAAAAGAGAGGGAGAGGATACAGAAAGAAATAAAGAAAAGGAGAGAAAGAAAAGAGAAAGAGAGAGAGAGGGGCGAGAAGGGGGTGGTAAAGAAAAGAAGAAAGAGAGAGAGAGAGAGAAGAGTAGTCTAGAGATCGGCGTACCGAACAGCAGACTGAGGCTGTAGCCGAAGGGCACTTGACACCAGGCCAATCCTCTGGTAAACATCACTTCAGCGGTCCCGTTCACGTAGGCGCCGCCTACCCACGTGGCTGTGGACAACAAACCGTAGAACACAACGGTGTGGTGTTTCTCTCTTGATTAGTCGGCTTCGATCGACCGTGATAATCGCTCTTTCCAACCGGGCAAAATGTTAGGGGGCGAGACAGGTGATCTGTGAAAGCTCTAGCGAGACACCACTAACTTCTCTCGCAATTCACCAAGAACTGACATTTCTTTCGTATCTTTTGTACGAGAATTATGCAAAGGGGAATTAGATTTCGGTGTTGGTTCGTGCGATTATCTACCGCCATTGGTAAAATGTCGAGGTTACGATCGTTTATCGAATTACTTTCAAAGGAAGTGGGTGTTTAGCGTGTAGGATGTGATTGATACCGCTCATTTTCCACAAACGTTACCCCGTCTACGAGTGAAAATAAATGTCAGTGCTTATTTTAATATACTCCCGTCGATTTTCCTCTCCGCTTTCTATGCACATCAGCTCGAACTAATCTTGTCTCTTAGGTTATCTAACTATCTGTTACGCAACCGCTACTCTGGAACGAAATATATCAGGTTATCCCGTAAGTTCGCGCCAAAAGCGCAAAATATTTGAATAAAAATCCATTCTTCTTAAATAAAGCTTTGATTATACTCAAAAGTCGGAAAGAATTCGTTTCTACGCCTGATGCAATATTTCAGAGGGTGCATAACCTCGAGGTATAGTCGGTGGAAGCGACACAGCGAGGTGTGTAGATTAAAGCATTAACCGGTGACATAGATTGATGTAGCCACACCTAGGCTTACGATCTTTCATTAAAACTACACTGTAGCTTACCACCGTAGCTTCCCAGCTCGATAATAATTGCCGGATTTTTTTATATATTATTTTTGCCTTAGTTGAAATTGTGCCTATTGACCCAGGTCCATTTTACCAACTTATTCCTCTGTGTTACTATCTACTACAATATTTTTGGATTAACGTTTGTTAATTGCACAAGTAATTACACAGAAAAATTTTCAAAAAAGTCTAATGTACAGCTCGGTAATTATTACCGAAAGAATCAACTCGAAATGTATATGGAACTCGACTGAAACTGCCGTTTCAGCGCTCTTATTACACGCACTTTCACGCCCAGCGCCAATTTTACGACCTCCCTATACACACACCTATATCGCTTCCACCGACTGTACCATCAGGAGGTAATAAAAAAAATTGCCAACTTCGAACGGCCCATTCTAAAAGGTACGAAACCCGACACACCGATAACGATCCAACTCCTGCCGCTCTAACCCCTCCCCCCTCGCTGTTCCCTTTAAACCAACACCTAACCGCACCGCGAAAGAAAGCTATTCCCGGTGTAAAACCAATTTTCCACGACCCAAATCCAACCATGGCTGACCGAACGTCGCGAGAACAATCGGTACGACCGCAGAAACGCGCGCGCGTGCAACCCCTCCGTCGGCGTTGCTCTTGTCCATTCACTCTGTAGAGAAAAAGAGCCCTCCCTCTCTCGGTTCGTCGCGAGAGAGAGAGAGAGAGGAGAGATCGCATAATACGGACAGTTATGGCCGAGCGGCGTGTATTTTCCCGGTGGCATATTCCCTGCCGCGGAGCGGAGCGTTCATTAAGGTAATGGAGCGATGCAAAAATCATTTCCACCGCGGAAAATAGAGCACGGCTTTGAATATGTATGAGTATGTGTGTGTGTGTATACCTACGTAAGATGAAACGCGATTCTCCTCGCGGATGCCTGGAACAGAGCTTGAACCGCGCGCTGCTACTGTTCACACGCTGCTGGTGGGGGGATTCCCGGTTCAAGTGGCGGTGGTTCTTGGAGTGGGAACGCGTTGAACGGGAATGAAAATGCGCGAGAACGAGAGGAAATAAAGGCTAGGTGGGACGGTGGAGAGAGAGAGGGATGAAAAAGTGAAATAGGAATAAACGACGAGGCGAAAGAAGAAAAAAAGAAAAAACGCGATTGACGCGGCGACAAAGCCGGGATTCCCCGGTGTCCTACTGTGCCCGTCCTCGATGAAGCGTCGCGCGTGGAGAAATGAGCGAGAGGAGCAAGGATAATTGTCGCCTTTTTAACGGAGCCGTGATGATAATTATGAAAGTCTGACAAATCGTGTAGTGAGGATTCGAAATATCGAGTATCCGTCCTTATAATGGAGTGCAGTTTTTTGTGAGTGACGGGGAATTTTTTGGAGGTTATGTTCGATTGGGTGAAATTAAATATGAATTAGTAGGTATTTTTGATTTTTCACGAGTCTGTGAATGCTGCAATGAAGATTTTTTGTTTTGGAGCTGTGCAAAGTGAAAAATTGAAGAAACTGGAGCTTGGGGAATCCCCAGGGACTGTTGGGAATAACGATCCAATAGAGCTAAGTAGTTACAGTTAAAGTTACAGTTAGGTTCGATTGGTTGAAATTAAATATAAATCACTGGCAGGTATTTTTAAAAATTGTTTGTTTTGGAGCTTTGAATAGTGAAAAATTGAGGAAACTGGATTTCGGGGAATCTCCAGGAATTGTTGGGGAATAACGATCCAATAGAGCTAAGTAGTTACAGTTGAAGTTACAGAATCACGATTGCGGAAGATATAGAAGCAGTAATCTCGTAATCTCGATCAAGTAGATCTGCAACTAAGACAATTATAGTTCCGTTGGGAATGGATACACCTTGGAATAACGTTCTAATAATCCCGGCTAGAGGAATATTCGCGTTGAATCGAGTTTCTCGTTGAACAGATTGGTAGACCGATGGCTTCGGGAAAGAATAGGTAGACTCGGATAATCCCGATTACACAGATAGATCCCACTTAAATTGAATTCCTGCTCGAAGTAGTTGAATTATTCAATTGATTTTGCAGTTTTATAATCGTGCCTCGTTCGATTACCCCGTTTCATCCCGAAAATGGAGATCTACCTCGTTAACAATTTTCTACCTTTCTTTTTCGGAGATCTACCTCATCGTGGAATCTTCTTCATTCATCGCTCGATTCAATTTTCGAAGCTTTATTTGTTTTCCACGGAAAAGAAAGGTGAAAGAATTTTGTTTTTTTTTTTTAATCGTTTCAAGACTCACCGATCAAAGTGAAGGCACCGAGAACCGGCCCTAGGCCACGATTCGCCAGTATCATGGCTTCTTGGCCTCGGCACTTTTTCTTCTTCACTGAGGCCGCCCAGATTCCAATGCCCAACACCGCCACGTAGAAAACGATCACACCCACCAATCCTGTCACGTACACCCCCATTTTTTCACCTTCACTTCTATCCTCTTCCCGGATAATTCGGCGATCTCCTGTAATTGAGTCCTCTTCACATCAACGAATTCTCTCATAGAGCCCTTTGGGGAGGATATAAACATTTTTTCACATTAGTGCGATCACATGTACGGTGAATAAAGGGGAACGTGGAGGGGATCAGTGAATTGTGTGGCCTTGGATCACTGAAATTTCCGAACAATAGAGAAATTTAGTTAGTTCCACAATTATATCGGGTGTCTTGATAAGATGGTGATTACGTTACGAAAGATTTCAGTTTCAAGTATTTATTTCTTCGACTATACGTATCAAGCGACCACCGTATTCGATCACACTATTACACCACTTTCAACTTGAGAAAAATAAGAAAAAGAGATGCTGATTTCTCAGGAAAAATAAGTGAAAATTTCCAAAAATAATCCATAATTATGAAAACACTTTGTTGTGGCAATATTCTCTAAAGAAATCGTGAGTTTGAAGAACGAATCTCTTGGACTGTACATGTCAAGCGACCATCGTACTCCATCCAGAAGCTCAAGTCCAAGGATAGCAATCAATTATAGGGATAGCAGCGACGAATACTAATTGCATGCTGTTCTCCCACTCGCAACAAAGACGTGCTCGAGACCGGAATCTGTTCAACACTAATTTTCCGGCTCCAGTGGATCAGTATCGGCGGGACATTCGTAATACTCTAATTGTTCCTCCATTCAGATCCCTTGTAGGACAGGCCTCCCCTGACGAGTCGCAAATGAACAAATCGACTCCGTCGAGACCTTGTCGACACCTATTCGTAAAGCAAGACGAGAGAAGATTGATGGGACAATTACGTTTTGAATCGACAACCATACGGTTAAATCTCATTTTATTCCTCTCTCGATGTTTTGCTTCGATCAATTCACTTGAGAAAATCGAATTAAGCAATTTACCCCGTTGTAAATGACAACGAGGTGTGCTTGTTTGATTATGACAAGGTCTCTGGTGTCTGACTTTTTTAATTTTTTTTTATACCTAATATGAAAATTAATACGAAAAATGGATTTGTCGAATTAAACTTTATTTTTCATTCTTTCAATTTTCTATCTCGTTCGAGAATTGAAGAGTTGAAATGGTAAATGGTGGAAAGTGCAGTCTGACCTACACGTTCATATTCTACTTATGACTGTAACTACTCGAAACTGTTCGAACAAACCAAAAGTTAAACATCATTTCAAACCAGACACACTTTCCATTTCATCCGCATTTGCAGAAACTCTTTCTCCTCGTCTCTGCTCCTCTCTAGGTAAACACACCTCGAAGAACAATAACCTAACCTATATCTCATACGAAACCACCAAACTCTCGTCATTGGTACTCGGAATTTGAGATAAAGGTAAACGTATACAATAAAGCCAACGATCTTCAACTATCTACGTTAAAAAACGAATGAAATATTTCGTAGAACCTTCCTCGACAGAGATTCTTCGAACCTAACCTAACTTCTTGGTAGAAAGAAGCAAACTACGAAAATTTTAGGTTAACTTTCATTATCTACATATTACGAAAAAATCAAAATGGAACAATATTTTCCCTGGAACCTTCCTCGTGAGAAATTCTTCGAACATAACCTACCTTTTTGGTAGAAAGAAGGAAACTACGAAAATTTTAGGTTAACTTTCGTTAATTATCTACGTATTACGAAACAAACGAAATGGTGCAATATTTTTTCAAAATTTTCTCTAGAATCTTCCTCGAGAGAGATTTTTCGAACCTAACCTAATTTCTTACAATTAGTAGAAATAAGGAAACTACTAAAATCCTAGGTTAACTTTCATCTCCGTAGAATTCTCAGCATCCTCGGCGAGCCGTATTCCTCGTATTGATCGCGTGGTAAGAGAGGGTATCCAATAAAATTCGGACACCAGGCTATCGTTTTGAGTGTGAAGCGGGCAGTTCGGTTTTCAGGCTTGTGCAGAGAAGCAAAAGTTAAAGCTCGGTAAACTCGTCGGGGCAAACGGTGGAAGAGCTAATCGACCGCGGCGGCAATTGCAGCGTGGATTAAAATTCAAGTGTGGCCCAGATATCGGACGTGGATGGGTCGTCGGGTCATGACCCGGCTCGACGCTTTACTCACGTAAAGTTCAGCCGATCCACCACCGCGCTCCTGTCGCGCGGCATTATTAATTCGTTCGCGTACCCTCCTCTTCCCTCCTTCCTCTTATTGCCCTCACTCCTTTTTATTTGCTTCGTCGACCACCTGAAAGTATACGAGAAAAAAAAAAACAAACACACGTGTATACGTATACAGGGTGATCAAGAATAAAGGGTCCAAGACTTTGGAGGTTTATGATATGCATAGAGAGGAGTAAAAAAATGTTTAATCAACATAGGTGCTGAATAAATAAAATTTCGATAAGAAATATTTGAACCAAAAATTTAAAAAACTGTCTAAGGGTACGTTTGCATTGAAGAGATTTTTTTACGAAAGTTGCGCTAGAGGGTACTCTCAAATTGTGTGCCCAGCTCTTCAGAAGCACTCTCAGTACCGTGTAAGAGTACACTGATAAATTTGGCTCTCGAGAGAAGCTCGCGATAGTTTTACTCTCACATGAGAACGTACCCTAAGACCGTAAGAGCTTGTAGTATTCACCGAGAGGAGTAAAAAATGTCTAATCAATATATGTAGGTTGTAAAATCAATCCTGAATGGAGAGGATGCAAGAGGAACACACGTGGCTCCGCTTGAATTTTTTTTCTTCCCCATCATGGGGGAGCGTCTCTTTGAATCATGCTCAATTGTACGAACACGTACTACAATTCTTTCGACCCTATTTTGCATCCTTTCTTTTGCTTCGTTCAATTTTTTGTCGATCGTACACGCTCGGTTCTGTCTGTTATTTTATTTTTCTATATTTTGAGAATTATTACGATCGAAACGTTGAGGTTAGGCTAATTCTATACTTCGAAAATTGCCATTGCAGTATTTAGGTTAGGTTACTTCCATATTTCGCGAATTATAGTTGCAATATTTAGGTTAGGTTACTTCTATATTTCGAGAATTTCGATTGAAATTTTGAGGTTAGGTCAATTCTATACTTCGAAAAATGCAATTGCAATATTTAGGTTAGGTTACTTCTATATTTCGAGAAATTCGATTGAAATTTTGAGGTTAGGTCAATTCTATACTTTGAAAAATGCAATTGCAATATTTAGGTTAGGTTACTTCTATATTTCGAGAAATTCGATTGAAATTTTGAGGTTAGGGTCATTCTATACTTCGAAAATTGCAACATTTAGGTTAGGTTATGAAAAAAAGAAATGAATTACGAATAGATAATTTTAAAAGAAGGAAAAGTGAATTTGAATTCTTAAATTGTATATATACGCTTCTTTTTTTTTCGTTTACACGACTTGTTTGATAAAAAGATATACGTACTTGGTTCATTTCGTAGTGTTCTTTTTATATTATTTACCCGGTTTGTATGCTTTGAACGAGGTGGATTCGTCGCGTTCGCGGGTCAAGTACATGTTAATAGCGGCGTGGGGGGAAGAAACGTCGATGAAAGGATCACCGGAGTGTTAGTTTTAGAACGCTGAAGGTAATGTTAGGTAATTAAGATTCCATTGAACCAATGGGACCTGTTATTCCCTGCTATTCAAACGTAAGGGCATGTCGAACGTTCGAAACAAGGATATTAACCTTGCATCCCTGTTCAGTGAACCTTTTCACACGATTAACTGAAAATGTGCAAAAAGTACGTGAAATTTCTTCGAAGTAGTACACTCTATTAAGCTGTTTAGAAAATGTACAAAATTCCCACCTTCGACTTTAGAAAGATAACAGAAAAATTACGATCCCTAGTTCTAGAACAGAAATTTATCACCTCCAAATTTTCTCAAAACGAATTTTAAAAAATATACAAAATTTCCGCCTTCCACTTTGGAAAAGTTGCAGAAAATTCACTATTATTAGTTCTAGAACAGAAATTTATCACCTCCAAATTTTCCCAAAACGAAATTTAAAAAATATAAAAACTGTCCACCTTCCATTTCAGAAAAGTGACAAAACATTCACGATCCCTAGATCTAGAACAGAAATTTATCACCTCGAAAATTCTTTAAAAACAGTACGCGCCCTATGGAATCACTAAAAAGTCATCAACAATTTCCACCTTTGACGTCAAAGGGTTACCAGAAAAAAATCCCTCGATCGCTTTCAAGTCGAACGTTCTTCTAGTTAGTAAAAAAGTCTAGATACGTTTACGAGCAATGAAAAATATTTGCAGACTCTCTTTTGCCGTTGGGCGTGTTTCGCGCGTTCCTCCATCGTTCGTGCCCGGTTGAAAAACGCGCATTCGAGGCCTTTCAGCCGGCTTTTCCTCCTCGCTGGAATCGTAATAAGAGACTTAAGAGCGTTCAGGACGCATCTTCACGGTTTCACGATGGCTTCACAGCGAATTCGTTAACCCCTGACATCGCGGCCTTTCCCGCGCGGGGTAGAGAGGAAAAAAAAAGGGGAAGAGGTAACGCCGCTTTTCACTACGCGCGGGGGCCCCGTTTGCAAAAGCGTGCCTCGTTTTCGTACGATGAAATTTCGCAATTACGAGCATTTTCTAATTAGGAAACACTCGAACCCTCTCCGCACTCTCGAATTTTTTAAACGCTTCAATCGTAATGAACGCGTTTGTTCCTTTTTTTTCATATTTTTCTCTCCAACGCGTCGACGAAATTGAAGAAATTTTTCTTGCACGCTCGTGACGTTGGAAAATGTACAAGTTGCACATGTTTTTCCAATACTTTACAAACTGGCGATTTTCCTGTTTTCACAAATTACGAGAGTTTGTTCTACTTCCAAATTTATTTATTTACTTGTTTAACATTTTTATTATGTATACAGGAAAATAGAGCGCACCTTGGTTAACCTAATCTGGTAATTTAAAAGAGAAAGAAAATCAAATAATAAGAAAATTAAAATACTATATATAAAAGAATTATTTGTGAAAAAAAATGTTC